GCGAGCGCTTGCAACCACGTTCCTGGTACTCCCACTGCAAACCGAGCTTTGCGCTGCTGGCCCGCCACCAGCTCTGCACGAGCTCCTGGCCGACGCTCGCTGGCAGGGGGCTCCTGCGTCCAGCCGCCTGCCTGCCCGTGCGTAGGCGTACCGCCGCCGTAGTCTGCAGATGGCACAGGGACCTGGACCCCCTTTCACTCGCAGTTGCAAAAAGGTGTGCGAAAACAAAAAAAACGAGACCACCAGCAGCATGACCAGGTAGTGCCGCAGCTTGAGCGGCGATTTGGCGACAACGGCGCAATGGTTAGCTCCCCCGCGCCGGTGTTGCGACCCAGTCCTCAACGTGATGACGACCGGCTGCATGCGCTCACTGGAAGCCCCTTCGTCTACGTCAACAGGCCCTTCCAGACCTGAGCCCTTGAACCAAGATGGCTTGAGCCAATATGGCATGCATCTCGGAGGAGACGCGCCCGAAACGGTTGACAGGGATGGTCAGGTCCTCGGTTGTGGGCGGGACCGTCCAGCCCCAACGGTTTTGAGCGATGATTCTTGTCGGGCACCCGTGCGAGGGCACCGCATGATCGCCGAACTCATCGACGAGCTGGCTACATCCGTCAAGTGGAGATGGAGCAGGAACGGCGGCGAAAAGCGAGCTGCATTGTTTCCAGAGCGTGAAACATTGTTTACCTGCCAATTCCATCATGGTACCAAAGTACAAGGAGCAACAAGCTGCGAAGAAAGGCAAATAAAACCAACATCACTTCAATGAAGCGTTGGCACATTCTACCTACGAGGTGAACAAGATGTACAACTACGCAGCCTACGCAACGGGTGCTCACTGGGGTTCACAACATGAGACTGAGAAATGGTTGCAAACGTGTTCAAGATTCACATGCCGCAGCGGCTTGGCAAACATGTGCGACATGGGCAATATTGCGTGGAATATCACGTGCGCTGTTGATGCAAGGGTCGGTGCTGAAGAGCCGGTGTAGCGAAAACGGGGCAGTGCCACTCAGTTCCCGTGCTCCAGCAATCCCCGGCAACACAGCTGAGAAACTAGGCCAATGCTGGGGAACATTAGGAAAACTACTTTTGCTTGGAAGGATGAGCAATGAGCGTGTCCGTTTTGTTGTGAAGAGAAGAACAACTTGTTACAGACTTTGTGGAATGGATGATAATGGATGCTAGCGGAGCGAGGTCTACTGTCGGAGCGGATCTGACGGGCGTCCGTCCATTCGGGCACGGAACTATGAGCAAGGCTCCAGCTCGATGCAGATGACAGCTCCGCCGACTCCACGTTGCGGGGCTGGATGCTCTTCTGCCACGCCGCCCATATGCTGCTGCACCACACCCGAGCCGAGGTCCGCATCCCTTCCGCCGAGCTCGAGTGCGCATGTGAACTCTTCCGTCGCGGTGTGACTCCGCACGCGCCGCCCGGCCAGAGGTCGAAGCTCGAGCCGCGCGGGCGACTGCGTTCGTCTGCCTTTTATGCCCCTTCCGATCCCGAGGTCTTCGGGTTCAGGCCAGGAGAACCGTGTGCACTCCCCTTGCATCCGTTCGTCGCATCCCGTCGGACCGCCAAACGAGCATCGGCCGCTGGACCCTCAGGCTTCACACCCAACCACTTGCGCTTATTGCTCGACGACGAAGCCGACTGCACGCTCTTGCACCGCGCTGCCGAGCGGCTTGCGCGTGCTGAGGTGCCGGCATCGGTCGTCGCTACCATCCGAGCCGGCCGCATATAGTCGCCCTGCGCAAGCCCAACGGTCGCGTGCGGGCCCTTGTTGTTGGCGACCTGTGCTGCGGCGGCTGGTCGGGCGCACACTCGCGCAAGAGTATGCGGCCGCCTGCATGTTTTTTCTGTTTGGCTTCAGCACCCGAGCAGGCCCGCCTATGCAGCCATGGCGGAGTATCCGGCAAGGGCTGTGCCAAGAAGGGTGATGCAACAACAGCGCGAGTGGAGTGAACGGGTGCTGCGCCGGGCGTTTTGCCGGTTTTGGACGGATGCAGGCGCTGGTACGGACAGGGCTGGTGTCGAAGTGCTCGCAAATTGCGGGCGCTCAGGCATGGAAGTTGAACAGCCGGGTTGGCGGGCGGCGGCCGTCTGTCAGGAAAGCAAGGAGCAGCGGTTGCGCTCCGGGGAGGTTTGGGGAGCGCAACCGCGGCCGCCATCGGCTGGGTCGAGGCGTCCGCTGGCTGAGACCACTGTAGGCTACGGGTCCGGTCCAACGCAGCTTCAAGTTGGACACCCTGCAAGGTGAGTGTCACGTGTTCCATCCGATTCCATCCGGCGGCGAAGGCAGCCTACCGAAAGCTAACGAAAGTTAGAGTTTGGGCCTGGAGCCGAAACTGGGAGCCAAAATTCCAGCCGAATCTCCATTTCACTACCTACGTCAGGACTGCCATCAAACAAACACCACGGTGTTGGTTTTGTCGTTCCTTTTCACTCTGCTCACGTGTCAAAACTTTCAAGCCACATTCCCCTGGCATTTGCGAGTCTACCATTGCTACCTTACTACTGTACCCACCTTTTCAATATCGTCAACATATACGCTCCGAGTATGGTCGACACCCCTTTCCTTAACCTTCGCCACCTCCCCGGGTTGCTCTGCTCGGACAATTCTATCCCGGCGTCATAAGATAGATGCAGTGCACTCAATTCTTCTGTTTTAATTCCTTTGTTCGCTCTTCTTGCTTGGCTCAAATCATGGGTCTTTATGAAAACTAACCCTACGAGCAGTCTCCACCTCCGCCGGCTGTGCGAGCCGCTGCAAAAGCTACGTGGGCCCGCCGCTGTCGGAGCATGGCGGAGCGTGCTTTCTGTTGCTGTCCCACAGGCCGTTGGTCACACAGCGCCGCCTGCGCCCGGGACGAGCTCCCCCTAGGAGCCGGATCTAGCTGGACACAATTGCTGACGGAAAAAGGTGTGTGGAAAAAGACATCCTCGACAAAGCCCCTGCCGATCTCAACATAGAGCGGGCTTTGCAAACACATGTTTGTGAGGACCTTGGTTTCTTCGGCAGTTAGCTGCAACACGCCGCAGCCCAATTTTGTAAAGTGTTTCTGTCTGCATTGTTGTCATTGATGTCAATTCACCAAAAGATGTCGCTGACAGCATCAGATTAGCATGATTAGCAGCACGACGGAAAATTCACCATTCGGGACAACCTCGATGCGACTTTAAAGGCACGTGTGGCGAGAGGCCCAGCTTGGGGCAGCAGCAGCAGCAGCAGCGCTCGAGATGCGGGTGAGGTCAGAAAGGTGCAGCCCGTACGCGCGCTTACCGCAAGCGTGGGCAGCGAGCGAGTCGCTGCCAGCTCTTGCAGGCCAACTGCAGCCGCCGGAAGCTGCAGTGGGGTTGGGAAAGGGTGCGCTGCAGGCAGACCCATCCGGGGCACCAAAGCCGGAATCACAGAGGTGCTCTCGTGCGAGGACGGCAGAGGTTTCAAGATTCCTTCGCCGCGCAGCAGGTGAACGTTCGAGCGCCCTGGCCTGGACGACTTGGTGGGTGTCGCACCGAGATGCCGAGTGGCAGGCCACATAGCCCACTGATCTGCTAGGGCAGTTGGGCTGCCAGGACTCTGCAGGCGGCAACGCGGGCTTCAGGGTCGAGTATAGGCTGGCGAGGCACTGGGCGACGGCCGAGCCGCGGTCTTCGGTTGTCAGCATTGACAAACCGCAACCCCCACGCCTCCACGGCAGCCGCGCGGCAGCGTGATGCGGTCCCAGATTCTTGATTTCCAAAGTTTCACCGCCGGTTCGTCGGCTGGCCGTGCGCACGTTAAGCTTTCTCTTCGTGTGGGTTGTTGTGCGCCCCGAGCGCTGCCCTCCTCGCGACGGCTACGCCCGCTAATTCTGCTCACATCTGGAACCTGCAGCCTTTCGTCATCCTTGCGTTCAGGCAGAACCCCTTCTGCAGGCGCCCGCGGCAGCCGCGGGAGGATCTCCGTCGGTGACACACTCTGCCTGTCTTTGTGGTTGCTCTGTGGGTACTTGAGCTCGGATACAGAGGTCGGTACAGGCGCGAAGCCTCAGCCTACCCCTGCATTGCGCGCCGCCGTGCAACCCCCAGTTTTTCTGAGGTTTCACCATAGTCTCCTTTCATGGATGGCGCACCATGGCGCACCGGTGTGCGTCCTGGAGGGCCCAAGCACCCGACACACGCACCGCTCGCTTGCTCCAGAGGGTGGCGCCGACGCACACCGCACCACGGCCGTGAGGTCGGATCCAGAATCCAGACGACGGTGTTTCTGTTTTGGAGGACCTCAGCGCACAGTCGCCGCTTGTCTCGCCCCGGACCGGTGATGGAAATCTCACCGATCGCACACGCGCAGGAAGAACCCGAAATTCTTTGCTGTGTGTGCCTCGAGGCCTTGCGTGCCCGGCACCACATGCACGTAGGCTGCCTCGCCCAATTCCGCTTTCGGACTTCCAGCTATTGTGCCCGTTGTGCGGACATAGCCGCTGCCCAAGCGAGCCAAGTTGCAAGGAATTTGCAAGCAGTGGCCTCCCGCAGCGGGAGTGCAGGCATCAAAAGATGGCAAAACGGAAGGGTGCAACGGACGGAAATGTCGCTCAGCGGCAGAACGATAGGGTACGCGAGCGCAAGTTGCAACTTGTAACAGCAGGATCGCACATGGGAGTTCAGGTTGCCGTGACAGCTCTGTGCCGAGCATGCAGTTGTCGCAACATGAGCTGAGCAACGATCCAGGTCCACTTTATTCAATCCACGAGCCAACGGCTCACGGCCGGCAGCGAGTGCTTCCCTGCCGGGCGCGGCAGTGTCCGTATACACGCACGAGACAGGAGATGTGCAGAGCCTTTACAATTTACGCTTATCGCATCGATTCGAGCAACAAAAACGAACAGTCCAACAAAAGGGAGATAGCTGCTAAAAGGCAATCCGTCAAGTGGCACCGGGTCTCGCAACATCACCAAGAATTTCGCCTGCCGTACTTGAAGCAGAGCCCACGTCTTGCCCGCATCAAACACCGCGGTGGGATCGGACATCAATCGTTTGCGCGAGGTCCTCAATTGGTGGGCATATAAGGCACAAGATGCTCCTGTCGTGTCCGAGGCTCAAGATTCGCATCTGCGCGAGTCCTTTGCCCTCGCGCCAATGACAGGCCGAAGCCTAATATGGATGATCTGTTTCCGGCCTCGATGAGCTTGCCCAACGCCTCCACGAGTTAAGCACAGATGCCCTTGACGTGGAGCTAATGAGGGACAGGCCTGCATTTCGGTGCCGTTCCACGGCCTCCCATACCTGAACTCTCGCGAGTAGAACTAGAATCCCACCCATCTCGCCAGTGAGGCAAAGATTCCGGTCACGCCGAAGAACAGACACCTGCAGAATGAAAAATGTGAAAAGCTTTCAGTAGCTCTCAGCCCGCGGCAGCTGAGGCCAAGACACTCTTGTGGGCTTCCAGTGCCCTGGCAACACCGCCCAGCATTTCAAGCATTTCAAGATCAAAGTTTCTACGGACCTGATCATGCTGGTTGTTCCGCATCCAGGGAAGCCGAGAATGATGAAGCTCAGGGGCCACTGCACGAATGGGGACGCCTGCCCAATAAATCAAAGAAGCGGATATGGGCAGTGCACATGCTGAGCACCTTCCCACGACAGCACACCTGGACCCAGTGCAGCCAAATGTGTCAACGCTGCCGGGCATGGAAGCTCTAAGCTGTCTGCATCGAAGGTGAAGACGCGGTTGAAGCACTCGGCAACAGCCTCGGGATGCCTTGGCCCCAAGACGCCAGCAAGAATAATTGCGGGCACGAAGGCACCACTTGCAGGCATAAGTCTTACAAGTTTGACTTCGTGCCCAAATCCGACAAATTGATCGGTTACTACTGCTATCCGAATAATGGTTACAGTACCAGCATTGCCGGAAAGGATAATCGAAAACAGTAATGGTAATGTATTTGGAGTTTGCACGACGTTCGTGTAATGACAAAGCTCATATTTTTAGTTTCAACTGAGCTAGTCGTAGTTGCTGATGCTCGAACATACAACATTTCTGATGACAGTGGCGGCTGTGTTCATGCGAAAAATTGAGAGTTGTCGCCGTAGGAAACGTCGTAGTAGTCGTCGTGGACGGCATCGTTGCAGCAGTGGCAGTAGCAGTCGCCGTGGCCGCAGCCGTAGCGGTAGCAGTAGCAGTGCAGCAGCAGCAGCAGCAGCAGGAGGAGGAGGAGAAGGAGGAGGAGTAGTAGTAGTAGTAGTAGCAGCAGTAGTAGTAGTAGCAGTAGTAGCAGTAGTAGCAGTAGTAGCAACAACAAACGCTATTTTGTCAGTGGCTGTCAGGTTTATTCATGCTCGCATTATCAGAACCACTATCGCAGTGACACATCTAGCAAGGACTGTAAATTCTTGATCATGACTGCATTGCTAGCCCGCATTGCTCTACTATGAAATTCGCAACATCCCTATACTGCCCATGTTTTTGGTATGACCTGTTGGCAAAAACAACCTAATAGCACGTTTGAAGTTTCAACACTGACCAAGCCTCTGTCTGATATTGGCAGTTGTGGCAGAATGAGAGGTGTTGCCAATGCCTTTACTGGTATTTGTGCAGGTACTGCTTTGTAAATGATTCCTTAGACTGCCAACCGTACCCTGCATTGGCACGGTCATACGCAAGGATCCGCCCGCAAAGTCAAGAAATACAGGCATTGATTCATAATACTAATGTATCACAGGGTCATCACCGAACAGAAGGCCCCAAAATGCAGCGGTAGTGTTCCAGCTTTAAGCACATAGTTCGAGATATAGAGCCAGATACAGCTATACAGGCTATACATATACATCTGTAATATGCAGCTGTACATATATAGATACAGGTGCTAATATAATCTGTGTATAATGTATATATACACATATATATATATATATATATGTTGTATGTATACATAAAAATCAGGCAGACACGGCAGTACTACAATCATTTTCGTGCAATCCGGCTGCTGGTAGGCGCTGCAGCAGTATTCTGCGATCGCAGGACCACCACCCATTTGCCAACAGCCATTGGGAGCAGCCAGCATTGGGGCGTCAGCATGCCAACTGTTACTCGTGTTGGGTTCTGGCTCAAGCCAGACAGCTGCACACCATTCCATATCCCCAATCACGTCACCGCCCTGCATCCCAATACTTCTCAGAGTTGCTGTCTGAAGAGCAACTTTTCCAGCACTCACTTCCTCCATATTGCTCCAAGTCTTGAACATGGCTTCGTGGCTGCCACTTGCACGGCCATGCTTTTTCTAGCCGCGCACTTCGCACGTCAAACAGCCAGACAGCCTGCATGTTGCAGGAGAGGCACTTTGTACAACGCTCCAGGCCAAGATCGTCAAAGCTACACACCGAAGTCTTCCATGACAGCAGAAAATCATGTCTTGGATTGAACCGAACCTCTCCGACTAAGCCTACCTGCATTGGGTAGTGGAACTGGCATGACCCGATTGTCTGTCAGCGATTGTGCGAAGGGGAGTCTGAGAGTCTGGGCCAGTCTGGGCATCGCATTGCGACATGCGAGGTTCGCCGCGCGCAGGGTCCCGGAAAACCTAGGCCAAGCATGGCCAAGCCAGATCTTGCGTTAAGGCCGGTGCCGACTCGGAGCTCGGCTGGGTACTTTGCAAAGTGAAGTTGGCGGTTTCGGCGATGGCGATTTGGAGCACGGGACTTGACACGCTTCGGAAAATGCTTGAAGTGACAAGGCCACTACCAACTCTTGACAACACCACATGTACATCCATCAACACCACTGCATAACATCAAGCGAAGTACACTGCAACACTGTGTCTCGTCAATGCATCACTCACACTCGGTGCATGCATCGCTCGCAATCGGTGCTTCTGGAGTTTGCGAATCGTCACCACCGAGCATTCCGACTTCCCCGTTCGCTACTCAAGGAAGAAAACAAGGCAGAACAATGACCTTGAGGGACTTTGCAAACTCGACGGGCTGAAAACGGGCATGCCGCATGCCTGAAGGAGGACAGGGATACCGACAGATCTTGAACCATGATTTGTAATCTCAGCCCGGTCCATTAGCACTAGCTGCGAATTCAGTAGCTAAAGCAGAACGGACCAGCATTGTGATCCCACGATCTGAAGCGACTGGAAGCAGTCTTGGGCTCCTTGTGAAACGCTACGCAACCAAGCATCGTCTCCGAGATGCGCAGTATCCAGACATCTCTAATTGGATCTGGCGGAGGAGTACAACTCCAAATCGGAATCGGGAAGGCTTGTGCATCCAGCTAGTCCACATCGAAGTAACCTGTCGCGGAGTAGATTTGAAGGGTCAGAAGTTCCAGTTTCCAATAACCGAAGAGCCTGTAAAGGCGGTACCCTTGTCGTTGATAGCCACAAGGCCTCTCGAAAGGTCGTGGCGAAGGGCGGGGAGAGGTTGCCAAGCATCGCGAAACGCTGAGCCCCCTGGCAGGCTGTGAGGATTTGGATCATCTGCTCGAGCCGGCTCCTCGAGGTCCAAAGAAACTTTTGACGGAGCTGGAGAGCGAGCACAGCGACCACAGCCAGCACCGAGGACGGGGCTTGACGAGGCCAGGGCAGTCCAAGGGCACTTGCAGGTGGCCCCAGCACTTCCCATACTTGGCGGACTTCAGATGAACCTTCGAGAAATGCTGACGCTGGCAGAGTGCGAAGTTGCGGGGCCTCCACTTCGGATGCTGAGCGGAAAGCTGTTGGCCAAATCCAGCAGATCTGGTTGAGATGAACAAAACCCATTATCTCAAGAAGGCCTCAGCTGGACCACGAAGTCACATATCGTGCGGCTTGAACGAAATGCATCAGGACAGGTAGCCATTTCAAGAGTATAAGAGCATGCTTGAATCCAAGATGCGGCACGTGTACTTGTTCAGACCCGCCACTCCGACCGCATGTCGGAACCTCAAAAATCCAACACAGATGAATCTTGGGATCTGTGCTCCGCTTCAACCTGTCACCAAGCGTGCCCGTCTCCGGTTCTGGATTTTAACCGCCTTAAGGTATCTGCACCTTTGTACATCTCGCTCATGATGCAGTAGTGTCTTCAAGCTCTCCACTTGCGTTTTACGACAAAACCGAGACAGTGTCTGGACATCTCCGAGAGTGCTCGGGTCAGAGCCAAAAATTCTGACACTCGGGGCGGTCAGAAACCGAGGAATCCACGCTGGAGACGTTACAGGTGTTGAGGCATGTCAGAGAAAACTGTCGGACACTGTCGTGAGCAGCAAGGGCAAAGCCACACGAACAAACCAACGAACTACCACATGCCACGTGAAAGGCCCAAGTCTCCCAGCACCAAGCAAACCCAAGCACGTACAGCTGCATATCTCTGGGCAGCGAACGAGGGGTCGTCATCGTGCCACGCACAGCTTCGACCTTTTGAACGGTCGTTCTTCTCTTCCTCGGAGCCACCGTTTCAGCACGTTTAGACCAGCACGGCACTCTTGGAAGAGCTGGCCTTGATGCTGTGGAGGGTTCGCAGCAGAAAGGAGATGAATGCGGAGAAGTCGAGAAACGGCATACTGCGGTAGACATCGCGCAAAGCCTGAGAAGATGCCACCCGCGAAGCAGCGAATGAGTGAGTCTATGTCCTCTCCCGCCTTGGCCTTGGACTTCTGAGGCTCCGGCTCGCCGCACGGAGAGCTCGTCGGACTGCTGCCTCGACACTGCAAGGCCAGGAGTCTCAGAGCGCTACCGTCCCCATCCGGAGCCTGCGATTGCGCTGAGGCTTGATGACTACTTGGCGCTTGTATGGACCAGCCACCTGCAAGTCCATGCCCCATGCCCCTTGTGTCCGCATGGGCACGGCAAGGAAAAATGCCAGCGACAGCCTCCGTCGCCCTCATTGCATCACGTCTACCTTGCAGCGGTGAGCAGCTTTCAAAAGTGGATTCGCGCAAAGAGCAGGGACAAGCCTCTGAAGATTTCCTGAATGGGAGCCTGGGTTTGTGGCACAAGGCGAGACACTTGCACTGCTCGTAACAAGTGCTTCATGTGCTGCCGCACCTCCATCAGCTGTCGTAAGGACGCATCGCTGCCAATCGCAAAGCGCCTCCCGCAGCATGTTGAACTATTGAGTTACTGAGAACAGCACAATCAGCTTGGGACTATGGGCCGCGCTGGTGCGTCTTGTTGGCCGTTTTCAGGTTGGCCTCCTCCTCTAGTTGCAGGAAGGCCTGGGCCTTGGACGTGACCGATCCGCTTGAAAAACGCTTGACAGCCTACAGGGCCTCAGCTGAGGTGGAGACATCAAATTCAGACATCTCAGAAGTTTCATCTTCGGACAACTCGGCAGAGTCGCGTGACTTCTCCGATTCTGCAACACTGCCCTCCTGAAGAGACGCGAACCGATCACTCAGGTCATGAAGCTGCAACTCTGAACTGGAACGTCTCTCTGCCAACAGGTGCCGAGCTGACTCGCGACCGGGGACAGGCTTGTGCGATGAAACAGCTTTCACAGATCCCGTCCTCACCGTCAACATGGCTGATGTGCTGTATGTCGTAATCGGTCAAGCTGACCTGCATAGTGTGGGAGATGGCACCTAACATCTGGGTCATCAGGCTGAGAAGCATCACGTCGTTTGTTCGCGCCTTCTTTAGAAGATCTTTCAATGAGTACGCTTCGGTGGTGGCAAATGTGCTGCTGCCTCAGTATGGGAATGTATTGAGGAGCTGTGAACTGATTGAAGAGGCCCCGAAGAGGCACTGCTAAGAGCCGGTCCTGCATGCAGCTTTGCCGCTGACTGGTTGGCCTGGCCAGAGCAAGCGGACCCTCGGTCCCGAGCTTTACATCCTCGGGAGCCGACACTCTTCAGGCCCGTCGGATCATCGAGTGCATTTCCAGCATCCCTGCGAGTATCATCGAAAACATCTGGCAAGGGAGCAGAAATCGCTTCTGCCTCCTTCCGGTGTTCTCACCCTCGCCTCCCCCAAACTCCTCAAGTGGACGGGAAGGGACTCGCTGCCGTCTCGGTTTCCCACGTCTTCCGTTTACACAGCACTGGCCAAGAGGAACTGCATGTCACAGCTACACATCCCTCTGCATGGAGTGTGCATCGGGGCTGTCCATGGCATTGGGCGCCAGCTTGGCCTCAATCTCGGAGATGGTATTATCCTGGCATGTGCTGGGGGCTTTGCAGGGGAGCAGGGTCGCTGGAAACAAGTGACCCCTAGCAGCAATTGCCATGCCAGAGCGTCGTAGTAGGACAGGCACAGGGCATCGGCCATCCGTTCAATGTACGGGTCACGCGCCTTCACAGGCTCGCAGCAGGACGTGTCTTACTCTCCAGCTCTTTTCCCTACTTGCAGTGTCGGGTCAGGACATAGGGGCCTGAACACTCGCATTGCATCAAGGTGAACCGCAGCAACCACATCAACAAACAGATTTCAAGCCCGACAGAGCTAGCACATACTGTACCTTGTGAAAAGCGTGGTCTTCTGCAAGTTGACGGTTAAAAGCAGGGGAGGGGAGCATCGAGCCGTACAGTTACTCAACCGAGCAGCTTTCCTGACAAAAGTTTGGGGGATTCCATGGCATCCAACTTGGCTTCGGTTTCGGGGTTGTTGGCTCTTGGGTTGGATTTCTGGCATGGATGTATGTTGTCCTGCAAGCAACACAAACACGCTTCTTGCGCCTCGAGATCATGGATCTGGCAGGCAGCGATGAAAAAAGGCTCAGTCAGGCCGTGTGCGTTCACGGAGCTGTCATAGAGAACATGCCAGAGATCATCCTGGCAGTCTGGAGCAACTCGGAACTGCCAGTTCGGAATAGAATCATGCGAGCATGTGCTGGACGAACTGCAGTCCATCATCTTCTGTCGCACGTCCAAGGGCGAGTTCAGACACAACCTCGAAAAGAATCACCGTTTGTCTTGTGCTACCTCGTGCAGTCTCATACTCTTTTGATGCGACTCTCACAGACTTCAAAGCCGCCTGCGGGCTATGATTACAAATCCACGTGCCGTGCAAACATGAATCCCTGCTTCAGACTTTGCTGGGGCTTCGGCTCGTACCATTCCTGCTTGGACATATAGCCTTTCTCGCCGACCTCAAACTTGTCGAACCAAGTCTGCGCAGACTTGTACATCGGCTTTGCCGCAAAAACAAAGAGGATGAAGAAAAGGTCGATATCCTCGCAGGACAACCCCTCAGACAACTGAACATGCCTCAACTTCAGTTTCTCAAACTTCTCCTGCTCATGAACTCGGCCGCGGTAGTTCTGGTAGCTCTTCTCATCCAAGAATACCTTAATTCGATCCCTGTCATCTCCTGTCTTTGAGTGCCTTCTAGGACCAGCAGTGCAGCTTGCCTTCAACTGCGCGGGCAAATCCTTGCTGGTGCCCTAACGACCGGCTTCAGCCACAGCATGAGTGACAAGACTGGCGTCCCGTGCCTGCGCACTCTCTGCAGCTTTTCTCTGCATGGCCAGGAATGTGTGCCTTCGAAGATCAATGTTCGACTAATGTTCGACAACAAGCCGTCGACGGAACATGCATTCCAGCACCAGCGGACATCTGGAGCTTGCTTAACGCTGTTGCATGAACACACCGATGGAGCCGATCACAAGAATCCGGTCAGGGACGAAACGGCGAGGGATGATACGACCACGTTCTCAACACTTGCCACACGAAGAACAGGAAGGGCTCCGGCCTCTTCTTTACAAGAAAGGATTGCTCGGCATCCCGAATTTCTCGGATCCGGGCCTGCCACTCCGCGGAGTTTCACATGTCAGAACATGAGGTGCTCACGTATGGCCTCGTCACCTCCACAATGCCCAAAGTACCAGGAGTCCAGATGCTCCTTAGCAATGGAAGCCTTATTGATCTTATTGAGTCGACACAACACTCCAGACAAAGCCATGCATCTACGGGGTCAGCAGCGATTGGCTCGACCTCACCCAGAGGCCATTCGTTGCAGGTGCAAGACTCCAAAGTGTTGCCCGTCAGGTCAGCACCGTCTTCTCAACCGGTGCTGCAGCAGCAGGTAAAGCCGCAACCTGCTACATTGCGGACATTGAGGTCGAACATCCTCTGCTGAACGTCTACATAATGGCTCCCCTCTCATGCAGAGCTTAACGACCTGGCAAGAGGCCGGTCCCGCGTTGCGCATGTGGACTCCACAACGGCACAGAGACAAAAGGCTTGCGGCCTGAAAGCCTGTTCATCAAGCTTGCTTATAAGAACACTGGTGCTAGTTCATGGCCAGCAGACAGCGTCACCAGTTTGGGGAGTATGAACGATCTTCATTGCCAGGCAAACTGGTTACAACACCATCACCTCGTGAAAAACAAGTAGGAGCTGGGAGCCACCTGCTGGACAGTCGCTAGCTGCTCGGTCACGAGCTGCTTCCTGGATCCCAGGTCAGGTCAGGAGTGTGGCATTTGCAACGAATGCATCTGGTTTGAGGCTGCCACTGCTCTTCCAGCTCCTGTTCCTTCTTGCTCTCCTCGATTGCCACATGCTGGCATAGGTACCACAATTACAGAGTCCGGCCTGCAGCAAGTGGAACGCCCTGTCCATACCACTCATTCCCTGCAGCACGCACGCAGTGAACTTTTGCTTAGCTTTCACTGAACATCGCACACCGTCAACGTCGAGCCAATCACAAATGTTCATCCAAACAGTACAGGTGCACCCTGCAGGCTACTTCAATGCTTCGGACCGGAGTGTAAAAATGCTCGCCCGTGACAGTGTGCACCCCATGTTGCCAACAGATAACAGCACCTGCGAAGCTGAGGGCCCAACTGCTTCCATCTCGAAAGCAGTAATGCTTGGTACTTGAAGTGGATTTCGGTCCACTAGCAGCCTCAGTATGTGGGGTGTCCAAGGACAAGCGTGAAGTTGAGTGAACTCTGTACGAATTCCGAATGTTAGTGGGAGCTCAAGGTCCAGTGCCGCAGCCCCAAATCCAGCTCCGACGACAAGAGGACGATGACAACGACAACACACAACAGCAGCAGGCAGGAGGCAAAACGCTTTAGGAAAAGACCCACGGACAGACAAGAAACTCTTCCAGCTTCCCGCCCTCCTTCTTCCACAGCATGAGAATTGAGTACGGCAGCCTGGCAGTGCTTCCAAACAACCCCCCCGAGTAGCATTCCAGCAGGCTGTGCGGAAATGAAGTCGCCTCTTGATCTGGTTCGAGGTGATGCGAAGCTTCTCGAGTTCTTTGCTAGTGCCGATGTTCTCTGGAAGGGAAGACCTGCACGGTCTGGCGAGGATATGCAGCTCTTTCGGCAACCAACCAAGGATTGGACAGCTCGTTGAAGGACAGAAAGAGCTTCTTCAACGTCTTCAGCCTGAACGCGAGGGGAGCACACCATCAGCGACCCACGACTAATTGGTTCTGAACTTGTCATGAGCTTACGGCCCATATTCTTCCGGGAGCTTGCTCAACTTGTTGTGAGACAGATTCAGCTCCTTCAGAGACCTGCCAGCGTCTGGCTTTCAAGCGTCATTAACCGTCCAGCATCGGAATCGGGCGGCGAGAACTACACCCTTTAACAACAGCATGACTGCATTGTCATCTTCTGGCCTGCACCGCATCATCAGAGCTGCCGGCACTGAAATAAGCTGGTTGTAGGACAGGTCAACGTACTGCAAGCCATTCACGCTTGACCTGAGACTTGAGAACGCAGAGCCGAGCTGCCAGTGTTTGACTCCACGGCCGTGCAGCTGAGGAAACGACGACGCCGTTATGGGGAAATCCGACGGCAAAAAGGCAAGACGGTTGTGGGACAAATTGATGACCTTCAGTGTCGATTCATCTTGCACAGCAGGGTAGAGGGCAAACAACGTGTCGTGGGGTGGTATGAGTAGATACGTTTCTAGCTCCACAAGCATCTTGCATCCATTAAACACAACTATACCTTCCCTCTTTCTTGCCTCGAGCTTTGGAAAGGTGCCCTCCGAGAAGATTCCAGGCTCAATTTCACTGATCTGGTTCCAATCCTCGCACAGACGAACAGTTAACCGTCACTAACACACTTTCCTCCAACCATCAGGCATGCACCGCCCGATAGTTTCATGCGAGCTTACGGCCATGCATGCGCCCATTCTGAGGAGCGTTCCAGGACAATTCTTTCCAAACCTTCGCATCGCCCGAGTTCTTGCGTAAATCTGCCTCAGGCTCCAACAAGCTGTAGAAAGAGCTACCATTCGCCGGCAAACGATACGCAAGTCCCAGTTGCGAATGTTGTTGTACGAGAGGCACAAGGTCATGAGACCTTCCACCCTCGAGCGGCAAGAACGTGGGTCTGCTATTTACACCGGACACAGTCACAGCATGCTGGAAGTCTTCTGCTGCTGAGGTCGATGCTCTTCCAGAGACGGGGGAATGCGATCCAGATTGCACTTGGCGATCTCGATGATTTCAACTTGCTGCAACTGGTTGATCCCTCAGTCACGGCGGGCGCACATGGCATGGCATCGCTGTACCGAGGCGCACAGTATCTGACCCGGCTGTCTCAGCCTCCCACTTGCAAGCATGTTCTCTGACATGCTTGTGTTGTAGGGCGTCTTCAGCTGCGTGACAGCCTTCATCTCTCCTTCGCCCACCTCAGTCTTTGCAGAAGCTGCCTTAGCACCTTGGCAAACAGAAATGGTGCGGCAACCGAGGAACAAGCCTGACCGGTACCCTTCACCAGAACGCGCACTTCGCTCAAGTAAGGGGCCTCAGCTGCGACAACAGGCCCGGCCCAGAAATTAGCGAAGTCCTGCTCCGACGTCGAGGTCGATGCCCACATCATGGCGGCAGAGGCAACGTTCCGTTCTTTCTTTGGCCTCCGCCTGCAGCCGGAGGCCTATGCTTCAATGCCGAGCACGCTAGGTGTGTGCTGCCACCTCTTGGCTTTTCGCTTGGACTTTCCGCGCATGCTGCTGCCATCCTTCAGCCAGGTAGGCTGAGATCTCTTATCCCCCAGCTTTGCGGGGCTCCTCGTCTTCCTCGCTGTCTGTATCACCACCCAACTCATCGCGGAATTTTCCGCAAAAAGGTCCTCCCACGAAACCGAATCTGCCTATCTTCCAACATGTGCAGCCGAGGCCACGACCGATACAAAATGCCATTGCTCAGAATGCTGTGCTGATGCACCATCAGTCAGACGACCGCCATGGCTCTGCTGCGGAGAACGGACCAGTCGTGCCAGGTGAGGCCGCTTTCGTGGTGCTTCAGCCCGTGGGCATCCACTACTTTATTTCCCCTATACGGCCTAACAAATGCCTGAACTAAAAAATCGAGAATTGCAAAGTTGCAAGAGGGAGGCGAAGCAATTGCCTCCAGGTATCTGCATGGATTGGTTAAATACAAGGCTCAGCTTGCGAGATGAGCAAAAGATTTTTTGCGGGCGATCTGAAAGGATGAAATCCACATCTGGCGAATCATGCTGATGAGGCACTTGAATCTGCGCTGTCAGCCTTGTTACTTTTCTGTTCTCATTTGCAGTGCATCATGAGTCATCCCAGGTCGTGCCAGACGGTCCAAACCGCCCAGCCCCAATAACTGACTTGTGCCTCTCCGCATCAAGCAAGTGATGTCTTGGTTGTCTCAGGCGCAGCAGTCGAACTCTGTGAAGCCCACATCGAGCATCCAAGGTGGCCTGCCCAAAGACGTTGCAGCCGTCTGCCACCGTGGCCCGAAACGGCCTTTCAGGCACTGCTTCTTGGGCGGTGAAAACGTGCACGAAGCCGATAACGGACGCTGGCGACTCCATCGGGCGCATTGTCCTCCTTTGCTGGCGTGTGCTAGATGAGTTGGGGCCAGTGGACGTTCAAGGCGATAACAGACAGCGCCAGCGCCAAAGAACCTCTCGTGTGAAGCCCTCTGACGTCAAGAACTTCAACAATCGTCCTAAAGCCTTCACTGCCAGCCCGCGCTGGTGCATCTGCTGTATCTTGGGCCCCAAAGCCACAGCTTCCTCGTCGAGCTGGTACCTCAATAACTTGGACGGACGGACGATTTGGAATTTGCAGGTCACCGTAGCCTACCTTCTCAAACGAACAACGAACAGCTGGGTTAGCTGTCAAAAGACTCGTTCGAAAGTGTGCTCTGGAAAGCCACGGTACAGCTCAAGCTGCAGTTGATGCATCTCCGACATGATCCTTTCTCGCATGGCAAAGCAATGCGGTCAAGGGTTTCATCACGAGCAGGCTACCCAAAGTGACCGCTTGGCAGACTCTAACTCAAACATGGGTGGGGAGGCTTCTCCCTAGCAACAACCGACACCAAGTCACGATGAAGCTTTGAAGTGCTGACGAGTGTATGTTCTTTCCACATCCTCGTGAAAACTAATTTCCTTCAAGACCAGTCAGAAATCTGTTGCTACCAGATGGATCCTAACACTTCACATCGTGCTTTGAACACACTCTGGACGATGCGAGCGCTGCTGAGGCAGCCCTGATTACTCAGCTGGTACCTCAAGCAAGAGAAGATTGCTAAGCCGCTAGGCCGCCGAGACGCAAAGCATCATGTCGAAGCCTCTCTTCAAGCTGTGTATTCTCTACCATTTGCTGCCTCTCCCGCGTTGACGCCAGGTCTCTTTGCAGCGCATCCACTTCAACCTCCAAGGCAGTA